CAAACATGACATAAACCCATGCACCCAATAATCGATCAGATTTAATTATCTTAATCGGAAATGCATGTTGACATGTCTTGCACAGCAGAACATTCTCCTTTCCATCTGGGCTGTATATGTTCATTCCACTTTCCCTCTTTTTCAAATATGCTTCAATCGATGTCAGTTCCTCATTTAATTTAATGCATGTCACGAATGATGTAACGAGGCTGGAATCGAACAATGTCGTATCATTCACTACGTCAATAAATCCATGGGTTGGTTATAGACAGTGTTTTGAAACGATTGTGAAATACATCAGATTGACATCACAGGGATACAAGACAAACTGATGTTTTCAATACCAGTCGTGTTCATATCCGTTACGGATGTCAAGGGACGTGTGTCTGAAGATTTCAGACAGAATCATATGTAAATAATTGAGGCTGTGAAACGCATTCAGGTATCTATGGAAGCCTTGAAGGGACACTGTCGCATTGTCGCCCTTATAAACTGTTAGCCGAGCGCGACAATGCGTGACTGGGTGGATAGAAGAAGGCTTGGTGTAACATAACAGTCAATATAACATGTTTATTGTAAATGTGCAAACGACCAAGAAAAAAACATAGTGTCATACTACGGCATTGATCAAACGTTCCTTGAGACGGCGTGGCATGGTCTGGCTCGATCCCCCAATGACAATTAGAGACATATTCTCGCCCTCTTCAGTTACTTCCCCATGGCCCATTTCAGTGTATGTTTCAGGTGACGTTTGACTTGTCAAAATTATGGTTGGGCTTCCTGGACCAATGAGGGCAAATACACAGTTCACGGACACGGCACGTGGTGTCCCGAGCACCGGCCAAATACAATGAGGGCGAAATACCGCTCACTGATTTCATTACCGTAGTGTATGTGAAATAATTAATATGCATATTGAGGAGAACTGAACTATGAAACAATTTGCCACACCAGTTATTGGTCTATAAGAAAATGGGTCAAATTTGGGTTTTAAAAGTTCATTCAGGTATTATTCCAATGTTGAAAGGGGCGGTAGGGTAACCTAATGGTTAAAGTGTTCGCTCCCCACGCCTCAGGCCCTGGTTCGATTCATGGGTACAATGAAGCCCATTTCTGGTGTCGAACGTCCTGATATTGCTGGAATGTTACTAAAAGTGACGTAAATCCCAGTTCACACACTCACCAATGTTGAAAATATCCTTAAAGATTACCGTCAACAAATATATATAAAGTAGTATTATACTCATTTGCTGTGCAGTTACCTCCAGAGCGTTAGTGTTCTTGCGATTTTATATGGACCAAAGACGTATATACACAGGATTGGAAGCCTTAGGCGATGTGCGCCGCGTAAGCTGACCGTGTTCATTGATAGCGAGTGATAACGTTCCCCGGCCGCGACTCGCGATTGGTTAACCTTTGACCATCTTGCGCTTGCGCATTGCTTTCCGTAGTTACCAAAACATCCGGATAACGCAGCTGTCAGAAATTTTCTCGACGCGATACGTCATGTGTATGTGCATGTCACATGTTCTATACTTGCAGTGATGATTTACTCATCTATGTGATATACCAACTGCGATCGCTATATATCTACCCAAATACAAACAAACACGATGTCAGATTATCTGTATTGGGACGAATCCGATGTCGATTTATCGGCAATGTTGGGTGAATGGACAGAGTACGAATTAGACTTCAGTTCGGATTCATGGTCTGAGGACGAAGATAACTCTACCGAACGACCAAAGCCCAAAACCAAGACAAAACACACTGACACACCTTCCGTAAAGAAGACATGCTACCAGTGTCCTCTGTGCCCCAAACAGTATTTGTCCGTGTCAGGGTTCAGGGTCACGTCGTCAACAAACACAAACGATACGATGTAATAGGTGAGAGTACTAATATAGTGAATATTTCCATATATGTGATGGTCAGACATAAATGCAGTCTTGTTGATGCAAATAATTAAGACCACAGCATATTCAAGGAATATATTCTTTGTTTTGAGCCCTTATCATGGTTAATTGAAAGTGTTTAGAGGTAATGCTTAATAAAAATAATAATAATAAGGCACCGGACCCACTCTGCTGCATTTGATGTTAATCTGTAAACATAATAATAATAATAATAATAATAATAGTAATAATCACAAGTATCCTACTGTTATCTGTACATATGTTTTCAATAAGCAGATGGAGAAAAGCAATATTAATATACAATTATTTTAATCCAGTCAGTCAGCACAAGGTGTCAGACACACAGAAAGCTGGTGATATTACTGCTGTACCTGTCTGTGACAAGGGTATCACCAACACATCAAGCAGCATAACAACCTTTACTGACAACTCATTTGCACAACTGCTTGAGTCTGCTGTCTCCGAAGTGTGCAACAACCCAAACCACAATTCGATCACATCAAAATCTGGAGGTATCATGGTTGAGATTGGCAAAGCAGTGATTTCTTCACCTGTCACAATGCAACATCTCGAAACATTAATCAAGCCACCATTACTGGACACATTGGCCGTTTTTGGAAAGACAAGCTCTTTCTCATCAGACAAGGAATTAATGTTTAGGAAATTCCATGCAATGAGGACAAACTTTGAATTTTGCGCCAGCTTAAGATCCGTGATCATGAGAGCTTCCAGAGAGACAGAAATGCATGTCCACCTGTTTAGTCAGTGTCTGCTGGACGACCTCCTCAGATGCGCTGTTAACAATTTTACTATAAGTCTGCAGATGGACACAGAGAAGTCTGCAGAATCATTTACACACCAAGACAACTCTGTGCTCTTCTACATATCGGGATACTTGATTTATGCTATGGAAAAAAAAATCAAAAAGAAAGGAAATACAGCCTCTGCATTAATTATGAAAAACCTTTGTGCCTCATCCACTGAGAAGTCTCCTGATTTTGTTACGAAGATAAAAAGTGGACTCTGAAGGTGAACCGTGGTGGACTGAAAGTCTGTGGTGATAACTTTTTTTCTTTCTTGTCCGAAAGATAGAGGCAATATGCAGGCAGGCATCTAATTTATATTATCACAACAATGATTCAAAGACAGCACTGAAAGAGACAATCTTGCAAGATATCACAGTTTCTTACTACTGGGACAAGCTAACTGACTCTGAGGATAAATTAAAAACATCAATCTTAGAGAACATTGTAGATCTATTCCTAAGACTCCGTGGAAGGGCCACTGCAAAACGTGTGCAAAGACAAACGCAGAAGGAAAACGCCAAATCAGTTTTCAAAGGAAAAAAATCCCAGTCTCTGAGAAAACGATTGAGACCTTACAATGATTAACCTGATAAATATGATATTTTATAATATAATCTGGGATTTGGTATTATTAGGTGAATTGTGTCCCCTGATTTTATCATTTAAAAAAAATAAATGTCAGAGATGTAAATCCATTTGTACCTACTCAACCTTGCAAGGTCAGTGCACATTATATGTGGCAATGGCAAGTATCTCAGTTCACTGTTTCCGATCATCAGTATGACAGACAGACAGACAGACAGAAAGACTGACTCATGGTTTATTCCAGTAACAGAGCTCCAGCCCAAAATATAAACTTCATCACAATTATGTATACAATGTGCATTTACGTTTTTCTTGTCTTATTTACATGGTAAAAAAATTGCCATACATCTCTTATTACATCACTGTTTACTATTCCAGCAAAATTAATAATGATGTGATCAATAGTACAATATTTCTTCATGTACACCGAATATGTTTTACAAATATAAAATACATTCATCATCCAATAGAAACATACCCTAGTATTCACATGATTTGCAATACCTCTCTTCAAAATGACATTTTCACATCTACCAGTTTTCTAATCTAAATGTACAACATTTAAAATAGAATTAAAATCACTGCAATAAAATATTTTATGTTTTGACTGTAGAGAATACTGGGACTGAAATAAGTTATCAAACAATTTTTGCTTAAAAATCATTAACTGTAGCTTTTGGATAGCATAGTACATTTATATCCAAACAAAGCCAAATCCATATTGAAATAGAACATTTTTTTTATCTTCTCAAAAGTAGTCTTGCAAAGGTAGTCTTCCAGATTCACCTAAATTTAAAACAATATTTTTACAAGTACATTTTCCAACATTAAATGCATTTGTACAAAATTAAATGTGGACAGATTCAATGGTATTTAAGTCAGAAGAGTCTCATTTTTTATCCATAGCATGGTACAGGTCATACAATCAAATATCTTAACCATTTTTCTACACAATTGAAATTAACTAATTTCCTTTGAAAATTATTGACAGAAAATAATGCCTTATTGGCCTGGGATACTAAACATGTTTGAGCTTTGCTCCATATTACCTTTGGGGTAAACACAAGACAAAAGTATTCATATAAAGATACCAAATTAATAGAGTTCCAATCATTAAACCATTTTTCACAAGACTTCAAAGAAGTAAATTCTATAAACAACAACTTTAGTTTTCATTAAATTCACATTCATACCATTTGTTTCACAAAAAAATTCAAGCACTGTAAACTTTCTTTGTAGCTGAACACAAGTATGAGATATGGCTGAGGCATCATCAGCTAAAATGAGTGAATAAATATTATTCATAGCTGGAATCTATAAGTAAAATGCCTCTATAATTTTTGGGATTGTTTTTACAATTTCACTGGTGGCGCGTTGTCCTGTGCTTAAAGCTCAGGTCACAAATCGGTGAAGTTAAGCAGCGTCGAGCTCGGAGAGATCTTGGATGGGTGACCGTGTTTGGCAGCTTGACTCCTGAGAGTTTCTAGGACTAGTCCTGCCCCACAACGAAGCACATGTCATACATGTGGTCTCACCTTAGGAAAGTGAGTTTGTTCAAAATTGCCTCTGTTCACCCAGCAGGAAAATGGGTACCCGGTGGAAAAAAGTCATATGACTATAACCTTCTAGTGCCTAACAGGCAGCTTGGGTTATCCGGGGTAATAATGGCCTTGATTGTTAGCGCTATGACACATTATTATTATTATTATTAAATATTCCTCAAAACTCTCTCTATATATACAGACATTGATAATGATCTCTGTGAGCTGCAAGACCTATAATTTTGGCTGCAATTATCTGTAAACCATGGTGGATGTACACCCACAGTATGAGTTGCCGCATCATGTAGCAACTTTACAAATAAAGATACAGACTCATCAATGCTAGAATACCTGCAATACATCTGCCTGTACAAGGTATTTCCATAATCATTTAACCACACAAATTTACAAAATATTTCATTTCATATCCTTATGGTCATTACAGCTGTTACCATGGTTACCTGGCATATGGCTATCTACATTGTTTACAAGAAATCTCTAGTGAAAATATAATCATGTTTATGGAAAGTTACATGAAAAATCAAATGTACAAATACCAAAGTATCCTAATACATGGAAATTGATGAGGATGCCAACATGTTGCACCATTATGTGTGACACATGTAAAGTGAATTCACTGGTCATTAAGTACTCTGCCATACCCTATGTACTCTGAATGTACGCCACAGTTCAGCAAATTCATTGCCATAGTTATTATGCCGTTCATGTTCCTAGGACTGTCAAACACAGTGGGGTAGTACTCTGCACACTACACATATTCAACAATGTCATCAGAAATGTACTTTAGAAAGTCCTTCATACTGGCATTCAGATCACCACGTAGGAAGACATGTTCCTCTGGATAGTCTGATTTCACTCTGTTACTGTAATAGTCCAGTGTTGAGATACCATCATTGTCACAGCCTTCACAGATTGGTGAATTCTCTGGAGATATGTAGGGGAATAGTAGAATTATGTATCTGTCACACTTAAAACATACTGTCTCGCCTTGAAGCTGAGCCTTTCAAAGTTTTCATTCATGATCATGAAATAGGATGTCACTTGATTATCTCATCCTCTTTGCTAGTGGCGTATTGTCCACAGCAAGTGATCCCTGTTGTCTTTTCTTGGAAACGTTTCCCCGAATAGGAGCAAGTGCTTGAGATCCAATTACTCTGAGTTCAGAAAGAGTGTTCCGGACATCAAAAACTGTTGGATTGTCGTTCGATCCACCTTTATGTCTATAATGAGCGAAATGTTCTTCAAGGGGATCTTGATTAAATCTGTGGGTCAAAACAAAACTTGCTCCTTCATGCAAAAGAAACTTAGTGCATTCTACAATGGAGTTCACACTGATATGGAGACCATTCAATGTCTGTTGACTCAGCTTCATATTTGTTCGCTGACGTAGAGTATATTGTCCTGCCCTGTTCATTACTGCCACTTCCCAGTCATTGAAATATTGTAGAAACTCATCAGTCAGATAGTGAAATCTCGAGTCATCTTGTGTCCTATATGGTTCTAGGTCTGGGTTCCTCTTGCGTTTTGCCTCCTCTAAATGTCTAGTGTTAAGACAGTCGAAGAAACGATTCATATGGCGAATAAATTTCACAGTTTCTGTCACATGGTCCCCATAAAGTTCTTCCAAAGCATCTGCAACTGTTTTGCTGAGTACTTGTGCAGCTAGGTTTACTTTCATCTTTGCAAATGATGATAAATGTACATGATGTCTGGTTAATTTGGGACATAGGGTAAATAATGGTGTTTCAACATGATCTTCATACAAACGAATAATATGAGTCCATGAAATGCATTTCCCACTTTTCCAAAGATTTCGTGCCAAATTATGTGCTCCAGAATTTGAGAAACAGTTTCTTGTTGTTTTCAATAAGTGTGGGACATCAGATATGAAATACAGTTTCCTGGTGGGAAACGAATATGGGTTTAAAGTCCAAAAAGTATTCTGCAAATTTTCATCACGATGTAGTTTGAAGAATTTCCTGTTAGGTGTTGCCCCATCACATGTAATAAACAATGGCTTCAACCCGCATTCAATCGTTAGTATTCTCACAGTTTCCCATATTGGAGGGTATAAAGTCGCTGAAGTTATTCCATCAGTAGCCAGACAGAAAAATGGATACTTCAAAGATGTAGTGATGCCTCTCACCATAACAACCAGAATGGATTTTGCAAGTTTGGGATCACTGTCAATAAGCAGATTTTCCATATTACTGATGTCATTCCCGGTTTTGTCCAGCTCTACATATCCGACTAACTCGCCGCTTTTCTTGTCATAAACCAGTCCTTCTGATACTTTAATTTCATCTTGGAGGATCCCAACATAGGATTTCCATTCTTCCTTGTACATTCCACATTTTTCAGCCTGTTCAATCAGATGTTCAGTAAATCTTTCATGAAAGCCACATGTACTCGGCAAGACATGTGAATAGTCAAATAAGGTACGGGTACTTGGAAGAGCAATAAATCCAGAATCTCTGGCCACATTGTAAGCTTTCTGACTTTTGCTACGTAAATACAAACACCACTTTACCATCATAGGGTGCCACCTCATTGCGGATTTGTTTTTGAGTTTTGCATACTTTAGCTGCTGGTCCCAGAAGAGCCTTTGAGTGGAAGTTTCGTCTGGATAACTTCTCAAGACATCACTTGTGTATTGTTCCACAAGTTGTAAGAGTTCTTCGTTTTCACTGTAGCTCAACACATGTCCTTTTGTTTTGATGACATCAAGCACCCGTCTTTTAAGTCGGTCAAGTTCTGCTTGAATTGATCTCTTCTCATGTTTTAGCATATTAATTTTTTTAACCAGATGAATTCTGTTCATAGTACTGTGGGGTGTTTTCTTCAGAGAAAATGTTGACACAGTGTGGGCCTTTTTGACGTGAATCCTTCTTCCGCAGAGTATTTCTGTACAGATCACAGTGTTTGCACCTCCTCTTTGATTGAACCAGTAGACAGCAATTAGTTGAACGTATTGTTGACTCGTATGGAATGTCACCTCTGATAGCATGGATATCTTCCCGGTAGGCAACAGCAGAGACACAACCTGAACTCTTGTAAATTCCAACACCTGAGGGCACCATGGATACATACTGAGCCTCAAAGTTTCCCATGCAAATGTCCCATCGCTCCAGTTTGGACTGTAACTTCTGGATGTCTTTCACAGAATGATATATATGTGGAAGACCAGTCCAAAAATCATGATTAGTATTTACTTCCTTGCCATGGACAAATAAAGTTGGTTTCAATGACTGATTGATGATCAAATTCAGTCTCATGGCCTGGCTAGGTTCATGATCATATGGTTGAACAAATCTCAAACCATGTTTATTGGCACCAGAAAACAGTAAGTGTCCAAAGGCTGATAGGTCTTGCTTAACTTCATCCATAAGGGAAAGATATCTTGCATATGTCCTCTCAGTCAACAGTCTGCAAACAACCACATCCAGTTCATCTTCAGCATTATACTGGAATACTTTGTGGAGAACAACATAAAACGCATTGGCAGAACAGTTGTCAGAATCTGTCACTTCACTGTAAAGGGGTGTGGAAGGTGATGGATTGCTGTCTTTTAGATAGAAATTATCCCATGCAGTTTCCCATCCGGCACTCTCACTGCAGTCTTTTCTGAAAAGTGCAATAAATTACAATGACATCACATACAAATAATATTTGTTTTACAAATATTATGTAATTAAGAATATATGTCAATGAATAGAAATGGATATATTATCACTCATTGAAACACTTCAGGGAGAAAACAACATCAGCTTTAAAAAATAATAACACACATATAATATGGATGGAGATGACTTTACAACACCATGACAGAACTGTTTGTTACATGTCATTGTGATCTAGCAAGTAGCTGTCTCATATTGACACATGGTAAACATATGGAGAGGCGAGGGTGGGAGAGATGTCAGAAAGGGGGTGGAGTTGTTTGAGTGGAGATTGAATGGTGGTATTCATTTGCCCATATAGTTGGCATATTAAAGTTTGTCTAAAGTCTGGTGTAAAAGTGTGGAAATATTTATAAGTATTTTTGTATAAAACAGTACTGTGTATTCAAGAAATATTTTAAAAGAACAAGAAAATATAACAAATCTCAAATGTTTGTGGCTACTCACATAGGAAATGAGTAGGAGTGGTCTGCAGCAACATGTTCAACTTGCTTCTCTTCATCATAATGTTCATAACTGTGCCGCCTTTTCTTTCTACGGCCTATTGCCTTTCTCTTGGACACAGGCCGAGGAGTTTGAGGCATCTAAGATACAACAGACATAATGAACAATGATAAACACAAAAATATATTACTTACAAACACCTGCATGAGCTCTTATGAGCTCAATACATAGCACAGAGTATATGGCAATATACACCAAAAAGTAAGATAAATTATTGATACAGAGACTTTGAAATTATATCATTCAGAAAATTCATTGTGGTTCAATGCATTTAATATAAATAGACCATATCAATATACATTTTTATCATATATGACATGCATTATCTTGAAAACATGTGGAAATAAAGATTCCTACCAACTCGACAAGTAGTATGCTATAGACCATGACAGACCAAAACAAATATTGCAATATACATATTTGTAATATATGTTTTCTAAAAATCTTCATTACTTTGGGTTAAATAGACATGTATTTTATCAAAATAAGACAATCAAATATTTCCGATAAAAAAAACGAAAATATCAGGACTACTGATGGTGATACATCATGTACATAGGTGAATAGTGATCAGATAAAATTTAACATTTTTAATTGCATGTTTTGAGGGCGAAATTGACGTGAAACTAATAAAATTCTTCATGAATACAACAAACATAAATTGAAATTTTAAAATTCATTTTGTCTGGAAAATATGGTTCAGTGCATGATTTGGAAATTGTGACAAAAAATCACAATGGATATGGACGATGCCACTGAATATTTCTATTTGACACAAATATCATGACAATCGCGAGTGAAAATCTATAAATAAAAAATATATTTAACCATTTACAACATCGTAAGTACATAGAGAATAAATGGTTCCATTATCTGACCAAAGTAACTAAGGACTTCCTGCACCCCCTGCAACGTAAATTGACGCACAAATAGGACATAATGTACAATTTTGCAAACTGAGCGTGTCAACCATATTGGTTTCGAAGTCAGCGCCACAAGTGACGACTGGCCAGCAGTTCAAAAGGATTCTTTGCCAAAAATAATAGTTAATCCTTTGAAAACAGATGCCGGTGGCTTTCGTTTATGTTCTAAGTAATGATAATTCTTACCTTTGATTCATGAAATGCTATCTAAATGCCGCATTTATCTGACATAATCCCACATATGATGCTATCCTTTCCGGTGTCCAGCGTTAGCGAATTACCCACGATGCACAGCGCGCAGACACCCCTGTTGCGGCAAATGAGCGCGACCCACATCAGAGCGAGACTGTCAGTGGAGGCTTCCAATCCTGTGTATATACGTCTTTGTATGGACTGAATTCTTTTATCTTCGTTAAAGTCACAATCAAGAACACGAATGGTAGATTGGGAAACTGAACAAATGAATTATTTAGGTCTGTTCCTTACGTCTCTTTAGTTTCATTGATATATGTATGTTAGATAATGATAACATAAAACTAATTTGGCATTATAGAGTGACCTCTCAAACTCACTCACTCACAGTCACTCGTGATTAGCATTTACCATTTTGCTGGTTTTATTGTGGAAAATAAGATCGATAAAACATGCGTTTTTCTGTGTTTCATCGGTGTCATTCAGCTCAAAGAAATAATACACGTACTATATCCATCAACATCTCCTCATCGTGAGGATTAATGAAGCTGAAAACACTGCCGAGAACATTTCAATACCTTTGACCTTCTAAAGCGCTTTATGTAGGCCTCTTTTATGTACTTGACGATCCTGCATTCTATTGATATTAATGACGGAAATAGTCAGTTAGGTCACTTCAAAGAGGGTTATCGTATTTGACCTTTTGGGGAAATAATGTGGGGTTGATTATAAATATACTCTGAGGAGAAACCTTTCCCAGAGTTCGCAAAAGACAGAAGATGATGGAACCACATTGAATATATTGACTACCTCTCGCTTGCTTCGATCGATTAAATCAAATAATTCATTCGATACAAAAGAGTACATGCGGAGACTTGAAAAAACTAAAATACACAGTAATTACATCAGCGCGCTGATGCGAGCCACACAAACATGAATGACGCATTGTCGCGTTTTTCGTTACAAATTTGATTTATTTATTACACATTAATCGAAAAGGCGATAATGCCATCCATATATACATATGTCGCTTTGACGCTCATGTTAAGTGTATCTTTGTTACGTTTCAGATGGAATGTCAATTCGACATAGTTTGATCTTAAAAATGTCGAGATGTAACATTGTCCCCCTTTGGTAAAAATTAACATATATTAATATAATATTCAAATCACGACATTGCGACTAAAGGTCGCTCTTTGGTAAATGGTAAATATATTATTCCAAGCGTAAAAGTGCGATAATGAGACAGTGTCCCTTCTAGGATTCCATAACGTGTACGTGTACATTAACTTCTATTGAATATTTCAGAATTATATACCGACAGGCAACCGTGTCTCCTTTGATGTTCCTCAAATAGGTGAATGAAATCGGTAACACGTGGACGTGAATTTCTATCAACACAGGCATCGCTGTGCTGGGGTGCTGAATCAATGGCAAGCATTGCATCTCGGCTAACACACTAATGGACGTTGACAGGTGTTTCGGAACAGATGATGCTTTTCCTTAATCCGGGTTTGACACATATTCAGACCTGAAGGTAAATGTCGATTGGTTTAGTTGCCCAGACCGAGAGAGGTTGTCAGGTTACGCCCCCACACAGTCGCCGATGCAGTCGAGGATGCATACCTTGCAGGTGTTTTTCTTGGTGGTGTGCACCGCATTGCAAGTTTGGACATTGTCTTTTGGTGAGTTCATCATGCTACTATATTGCACAAAAATATCTTCCCATTGTGTATTTAGATGTGTTGAAATGGTAGAGTGTATTTAATAATTATATAACGAAATGTAATGACATATTTCGCAAGAACCAAGGTACATACTGACCAACAGAAACATGGATTTATGAACGAATGTGCCTGTCAATTAACATCCTCGCAATTGCAAAGTCTCTCTTTATTCAGAAGATGTTTCCATTATCAAAATAGATTTAACAAACAACTAGAATATTATTTTAATGATTGTCTCTTTGAACATATGAATCAATGATATGGTGAATATTGCACGTATTGGTGATTTATAAGCGAGTAAGAGAAGAAAGCAAGTACTATCGATTGGAGTGGGTTAATCAATTGTGTGTTTACCGAGAAAAACGATCGTACATCATTGTTAGGTTGAGTGATGTGATCAATATTCTTTAAATGTGTTAACAGATATTTTGCTGATTACCGAAGCGAATGAAAAATGTCCACATCCCGTTGTGTGCCTTAGAAATGACTCGGTCATTGATCAGTTTAAACTGACCTTTTTCCTCGTCTCTGCTGGAGAGCAATTTGCTGCGTCGAAAACAGGTATCATTTAGAACCTCAACTCAATTATCATTTTGTATGTTTGCCTAAACCTGTTAATCGTGTAGGTATACGTGTCACTACTTTTTGTGTTGATGGAGGCAGTGATGCTGGTTTAGGAAGGGGATTATAGGGTGGTTTAAGACAGAAAGACAAATATGATCAGTTTGAGTCTTCCATGGTATTTTAGAAATCCTCGATTCTATCTGATGTGTATAATGTATTTTATTGATATCTATATAATTTGGCCTAGTTACAGCAATACAACGTTCGAGTTTCAGCGA